CCCGCACGGCTAGCTTCCTGGCCTGACGCATATCCATATCCATCTTCCTCTTCTCCCCATGCATCAGCTAGCTCATCGGCCAGGTTTCCTAGTCCTCCGCCGCCTGCATCAGCGGCGCCAGAGAAATCCCCGGACCCTCTATGGGACCCACTCATGGCGTTGGAGTTATGGCGGGACGCGGCAGGAGATGGAGGTGCAGATAATCGGGGTGTCCGCAGTGATCTGGGGCTTTCAATTGCAAAAGTATTCCCAGTCCCGGGGGAGATAGGTGAGTCGTCTGTGGCCGCCGATGGGTAGCGGTGTGGGAGTTTCAGGGGAGACGGAGGGGGGGGCATTGGTTCGTTGGAGGTATCACACGGGATCTCCTGGTGGAAGCTTTACTGAAAAGCTGGAGAATTGGGTTGGGGCAATATAGCCAGAGAAAAGGAACAAGCGGTTGTAGTCTAGTTGCAGGCGAGCAACAGTTGTTGATTAGGACGCTGAATTGAATGGTCCGATATCTCCGATCCGGGTCAATATATAGCGCAGTAGCAATGGAACAAAGACCAAGCTACGGTCAATTGATATAAAGAACGCGTTAAAAGAGCGACTTCTCAATTAAGGAGTGACTGCATCACCAGGATGTAGGAGGGGTATAACACAACAATTCATCTTCAACCTCACCGCCGACTACTACTCGTCACCGCCCGGCAAAAAAGAACAAGAGCATCAAACCCCACATTATCACACTCATATTTCCCGATATCAAGATACCCACATGAGTATTTTCACATTTATAATACCAAGATGAGTTCTATTGAACGCATGTCCCCGTTGGACCTGCTAGACCTTAACCTTACAAATCTCGACCCGCTCACTGAGAATTATGACCTCGGCTTCTACCTGAACTACCTGAACAAATGGCCCTCATTGTTCAGCACCGTGAAGGACCATGATGCCGGCATTGTAGGTTACAGTATGTTGAATTCTCCCCCTAGCTTGGCACATCCTCCTTAGGCTCCCTGGATATGACTGACATGTTCCTTCGTAGTTATGGGGAAGCTCGAAGAGCAGCACCCAGCAATGCGTCACTCCGAGCACTACACACCATGGCATGGACACATCACAGTCCTGACCGTTGCCCCAGCCTGGCGCCGTCTCGGATTTGCACGCAGGTTGACCGAACAGCTTGAGCGAGGATCCGACAGCAACGACGCCTGGTTTGTGGATCTCTACGTCCGTGCCGGAAATAAAGTTGCATATGACATGTACAAGGGAATGGGGTAAGTGTGGCGATATAGATACGTCCATGCTGAATTGATGGCTGACGTATAGTTACAGGTACTCTGTCTTCCGGCGGGTGGTCAATTATTATAGCGATGATCCATCGGGGATGTCGGATACTGGGGAAGATGCGTTCGATATGCGCAAGCCATGCAGTCGAGATAAGAAGCTTGAGCACGTGAGAGAAAACGGTGAGAACTTCCCTGTTGGGCCGGAGGATGTGATGTAAAGCATCCTTCTTTCTGTGGTTATTGAAGCAGCCATGGCTGTCATTATTTACTATCTCTCCCCTTTTCTTCGAGGGATTCTCATGGAATGGGGGGGTTACGCAGGGCTGGGGTTTTGATGGATATTTGTACAAAATTAGACGTATGATAGTTGCCATTTTCGTCTAAGTATAACATGAAGTGCGCTGTGTCTCCCACTGGCTGGGAGGTAATGCAATATGCAAAATTCAAAACGATGACCGAATGATGAAGCTAATGGTATAATCGTTGTTCAACATGTGTATGCGAAGAAATAGCCGGAACAAGGCCGAATCTTCCGGGGTGGTGGGCGGCAGCCAATATTCAAACCTTGGCATGGAACTCAAGACCCGAGCGCAGAAATCTAACACAGGTCATAAGAACCGTAGAGGTAGCGAGACAGCACGCGGTGAAAAGCTGAACTCCGAGAAATTGGTTTGTATCGGCCAGGATTGCACCACCGATGGGGGTACCGATCAACAGACCTATGGAAGTGATAGCAAAGACCATACCCAACCGAGTGCCCAGATTGCGCACGTCCGGAGTCATGCTTGCCATGACCACAGGTGGCAGAGACACAAACCCACCCGAGAAGAAGCCGTAGACGACGGCAAGAATGATGATGCCAGGTACGGTGTGAACACGGATCCAGACAAAGGCTAGGATGGAAGTGATGGTCACGGCGGGCGTGAGCATATTCAAAGGGCCAACGTGGTCGGCAAGGAAGTTAGGCGCAATACGGCCGAAGGTGGAGGCGGCGTTTAGCATGGAGAGTAGGTAGAATCCTAGGTTCGAGTCTACAATGCCTGTCTCAATTGCGTAGGACTGCACATAGAAAAGGAAGTTGTAGAAGCCCAAGAAGCCCATGAACATGGCAATGGCAAAGACAGTAAAGGCCGGCTCCTTTAAAGCAGACAACTGGTAGAGCTTTCGCTTCTCCTTTGGCTGGAAGCGCGAGCGCATGATGCTAATAGAAAAACAAATGGTGCCAAAGCAGACGAATCCAAGAGATCGGGTAGCCCAGGCAAAACCGACCTTCTTCTGCAACTGATCGAACATGATTGGGTAGATTACACCACCAATACTGCTGCCACTGGCAGCTAAGCCATTGGCTAGTCCTCTCTTACGGTGGAAATACTGCGGCAAAATGGCAACGGAGGGCACGAAAAGACAGCCTGCTGCAAGTCCGACACAAACACCTTGGGAAAGAATCAGGTGCCAGTATTTAGTGGCAAGACTGGTCATCATCAAGCCAAAGGGCAGCATGAATGCAGCGGTGATGAGGAGGGATCGAAAATAGCCGGCATCAAACAGTGGACCTGTAATGACTCCAATCATCATCAGAAGGAATGACTGCAGCGATCCAATCCAGGCAATGGTCGATGATGAAGTACCGACGAGCAACTCTCGCTCATAATAAGTTTGATATGCTCCCCATGTATTGATGATTCCCCTGTTTCAACGCATTAACAATAGGATCTTTATACTGAAGAACTTATATATTCTTACCATGAATTGAAAAAAAGAAAGAATGAGCCCAAAGCTTGGAGCCATGTATGTAGCCCCGTATCGAATGTTAACTGAGGCCCAGGCTCTTCCTCTGGAGAATGTGATATATTGGAGTTGACATTTTCATCGCAAGTAGACGAAGGATCAGCGAGTACTTTTTGCTCTATATCTAAGTTAGTTGACTCCATGTTGTTTCATGTCACAGGTGAGAGCCTGTACAATGTAGTCTTAGCTGTGCAATGGTCAAGAAAGTGACAATCAATGATATAAAAATCTTTCCAGTTGATTATAAACCCCAAACCAAGCGGGGTTGGGGTATAGGGCGGGCCCCCCCGAGATCGGCCATTCGGCCATTCGAGAGATATAAGAAAGATAACCGGGCTTTCACTCGAATATGATATATAGCTGGACCTGGATATGTTATAGCTACTTGAGATTTGTTGAAATAACATAGTATATCCTTTGTCAACCAAGTAAACACCCTTACTGACAGCAAATCGGTCGAAACCAACCTAGTCACCAGCGAGGTCAATGCACTAACTCAGATGTAACATTGAATAGCCGAACTTGTTTTTCGTCGAGAGGACGGTCTTAACACAGGCAGACGTGCCTGGAATACAGATGGATATGGAAATGACTCTAAATATCTTATCAAGTGCATCCAGATGTTGATATCAAAATTGTAACTGGAAGTATACAGACACAAAAGTATATCACTGAAATCCTGACAATACTCACGTGGCCGCTATGATTGCTTCTATCTGCAGGAAGATAAACAGGTCAAATTATTTTTAGATATGTTTTTTTTTCCGTTCTAGATTCATGTACAAAGCCTCATTGGTGTCCATGTTTCATCAAGGACATCCAAGTCTCATTTTTTTTGACGGGTTCTTCGAATCCCAGAACTCCAAACGCTATGCTGAAAAAGAAAAGCAAAAGATATAAAACAGCCTCCGTGGAGAGCAGTTGATAGAGAACAGTTGATACCGGTTTGACCACTACAGCAGCTCCTCACATGTCCAATCCTCATACCTAAAGTCGAACATTGTTAGACCTGGCCCACCAATCATGTCTGACAAGATATTGCTTACCATCCATCGGGCAGGTATCGGCGAATGATCAAGGGAATCTTCTTCTGGTTCAATTCCTTCATGGCGATCTGGAGGGGATCGGTTTCACCTTCGAGGTCGACAAGAACGGGGGCGTTCATACTATGCCAAATGTCAACAAGCTCAATTTCACGTAACAAATGCGCAATCATTTGCAGCAAAAGCAACGTACCTGATTTGCAGGGCACGGGTACCAAGAACACGCGCGCGCTCGTACTTGGTCAAGTACGGGGTGGTGGTGCGCTGGTCATTGGGTACTTTCTTCTCGCGCGACTGCTCCAGCACTTTTCCTGCGTATCCAGCATTTGGATCGCCAGAGACAACGACATTATCGCCGTTGGTGGCCGGGTAATCATCTCCCCCAACCGTGTCTTCGCCCTCGAGGCCCTCTTGTTCCTCCGGCTCCTCATCAAACACATCCTCGCCGGGCTCGTAGTCGAAGCTGCGCACACCACATTGTTAGAAAACGGGTCTATACAAGTATACGCGAACACGCTGTGAAGCTGCCAGGAGGCACAATGGAAGCAAAGCTCCTTTGCGCCTAGTCCCTGGGCAATCTGGTGAAGGGTAGCTTACGTCTCTTCGACGTCGTCGTCGTGGCCGTAGTCAGACATAATGACAGTTAAATCTGCAAAGGAGCGAACTGTTTGTAGGCCGAAGCGAGCGATGAAAGACCCAGAGGTATGAGAGACAACTCGGGGGTCGAGGTGGGATTTGATGCTAAAAATCTTGGGAGCGGAAAAACTTCCTCTGTGTTGACCGTCACCGCCTTTCTGGCAAAAATAAAAAATATTAGTTTGGCATTGACGTCCGAACTTCCTCATGCCTTGAGATACTTTTCCTTTCTCAATCGTCCTTTTCAGGGCGTCTCATGATGGCCATGAAACGCAAGGCCTCATCGGAGGGAATCACAACCCTCAAACGACATCAGAAGGATAATGTCCTTGACAATTCCGGTAAGTTTACGTCCACAGGTAACGTCCAATAAAGTGATCCAATTTCTGACCATTCTACAGATCTGATCTACCAGGAGACTCACTCCGATGCAGAGTATTCGGCTCCTAGTACTCCAAGTTTAATGAGCGAAGACATGGACGAATCTCCGGCGACCCCATTCTCGGCCACCTCCTCCCGACAGGTATACCCATCCGAGCTCAAAACCCTATCTTGTCCGTTCGAGGGCTGCGATAAGGCTTTCAATCGTCCAGCTCGACTCCAGGAGCATATCCGGTCACACAATAACGAAAGAATCTTCAAATGTGAGGTTGAGGACTGCGACAAGACATTCTTACGCCCTTCCCATCTTCAACAGCATGTCAAGAGTGCTCATACAGATATTCGAGACTACGTTTGCGACTATCGGGGTTGTGGGAAGAGCTTTGTGAACGGATCACGGCTTCGCCGGCACGTTGCTACACACGATGGACATAACAAGTACCGCTGTACGGAGTATCCACCTTGCGACGAGACATTCCGGAAGCACTCGACGCTACAGAAACATGTCATGGTTGCCCACTTGAACCAGAAGCCATTTCCATGTGATCACGTGGACCCAACCACCAAGGAAAAATGCAACATGGCTTTTGACAAGGCTGGTAATCTACGGACCCACCAGAGGAGAGTCCATTCCGAGAAACGATTCACATGCGCAGAATGTGCCGAAAATATGGAAGCTCAATCATCAAATATGGCCGACGACGATACAAAACAGGATGTATCATTCCCCACGTATGCCAGTCTACAAAACCATATTCAGATTGTTCACCCTCCCTCATGCCCTGAGTGTCCATTGGTCTGTTCGACAGCACGGGGGCTTCGGCGCCACCTTGAGATAGCCCATGGCAATGTCACTCTTGAAGAACGAAAGATCTTCCACTGCACCGTCCCTGGATGCGGGCGTAGCTTCACCAAGCAAGGCAACTTGACCGTCCATATTCGCACAGTACACCAAGGCGAAAAGCGGTTTGTCTGCGGCGAAACGGATCTTTCAAACTCCAACAAGCTGGAGGGATGGGACGGCGTCGGTTGCGGCAAGCGCTATGGCAACAAGCTGACACTCGAAGACCACATCCGCACTTCACACTTGGGTCTCCCGAATGCCAGGAAACGGCGCCAAGCGAAAAAGACGAGCAAAAAGCCGGCGCAGGATTCAGTTTCCACTCTTTCTGCCCTCACGGGCCAAGGCTACGCCGAGGAAACAGGTCGACAGATCGCTTGCTTTTACCCCGGCTCGTGCCCACATCGTTTCCATCGCAACTACGATTTGTGGGTCCACATGACCACCAAACACAGCTGCACCGAAGATGAGGTCCAGAACCTCTTCATGCAGCGCGCGTTGCTTACAGATGAAACCAGCGCTGGAGTCAACTCGCTGGGTATATATGGTCTTGGATATGATCAGGATGGTCGGTCCTACTGCCATCAATCATATGCGGCAGGAGATCACTCTTCGGATGTTGCTTTCGGCTCACAGTCGAACGATTCCTCCTATCTCCCTAGTCAGCCGGGGTTGGATTCTGATTATTTGATGGCAGATGATTCTCCAGCAAGGACAGCACATTCATTCTTCAATACCCAGTCGTAATCAAATGGCACTGGTTGACACTGTTTGTGCTTACCATTAGATGGAACAATGATGAAGGGCATTTGTACGATGTTATGATTATCTAGCGTTTTGATGCATATCCATGGACTTTTCTTCAAAGTTCCTATTTCTCAACAGCGTGTTGATTTGATATTTTGACTTGACATATTCAATTCACCAAGGAGCGGCTTCAAAATGAATTCCAATGTTAATACTGATCATCTATGTAGCCTTTTAGACACCGTAGCATCAGGCCTAGAGATCAGGGGTACCCTCGCCTTGTTATGACTGGCTTATCCCTACGTGGATCTTACCCTCCCAGAACGACTTCGTTGCCAATGGTTGAAGCTATTGCGTGAGACGGTGGATTTTATGTAATGTTCTAGCTCGGCCAACGCACTAAAGTTCTTGATCATAGTTTATGTCATTATAGTACTTCATTGAACGAGTGAAAGCGAAAGAACCTGGGATATCCCATCAAACAACCTTCCAAGGTTCGTTTCATTAGCTCCCGCCGTGGAACTCGGACCCACTTTTAATCCACTTTGGGTATAGCTCTCTATTAATTTGTACAACAAACTCTGTACCGTACCTATGTTGTAGGTAAATATGGATATAGTATCATGTATGTACTCTGAATATCTGGCTCAGAAGGAGATAAGCTTCGGATTTTGAAAGCAGACTCCTACACTCCGGCCCAAATCCGCCGTGGATGCAGTGAAAGAATACCCTAATCGATTACGGATTTCGGAGGCAAAGTCCGCTTCTACACTCAAGGGGCTGAATCTGGGATAGTTATGAGTGTAGTGTATTTACAATCAACATTCGAATAAAAGAAGTATAATCTATACTATATATCTATCATGATTCGGTAGTCATCACAGTATCAATACCAACAAATCCTTCACTCGAAGCACTTGGCCGGACATCTTCTCTTGCAATGGCCGAGACGAAATCTTCCAATTTGGAAAATCAAGATGGCGTCGAGATGAGTGCTTCCATCCATAATACAGAGCTCAAGCGCCAATATCCTTCGGGCCTGGCGGTCACTCTTATCCTGACATCAGTTACTCTGGCCTATTTCCTCTTTTTCCTTGATCTTGCTGTCATTTCCACGGCCACTCCAGCCATTACTTCTCAGTTTGACTCACTAGTGGACGTCGGTTGGTAATTACATATCCATTTACTTGTCTAGGCCACAACTGCTGGTCTTTTGTCGCTTTTTTCCGAGATGCTGATCTCTCTAGGTACATTTCAGCCCTTGAGCGGCAAGATTTACAGCCGATTTTCCATCAAGGTATATCTTGGTTCAAGCATCGTGACTACGAAAGTCAACTCTGACAAGATCATCATATAGTGGACCTTTCTTGTCTTTTTCGTCATCTTCGAAGTCGGATCTGCTGTATGCGGAGCAGCGCATTCTTCGGCCATGTTCATCATCGGCCGTGTTATCGCGGGTGTTGGGTCTGCTGGTGTGGCCAACGGTGCAGTAACAACCATCTCCGCCGTCCTCCCAACACAAAAACAGGCCCTTTTTATGGGACTCAACATGGGTATGGGCCAGGTGGGCCTTGCAACGGGGCCTATTATTGGAGGCGCTTTTACCACGCATATATCCTGGCGGTGGTGTATGTAATTCCACTTCTTGGGGTGATTTTTAAAATGCTGAAGTTTCTATATTAGGTTTTTACATTAACCTCCCCTTGGGTGTTATTGTCGGCGGGTTCTTCTCTTTAACACAGTGCCCGAGCCAAAGCCTAAGGATCCGCCCCTGCAGATTCTTAGCTCTGCCATCAAATCTCTAGATCTCCCAGGATTCATGCTTATTTGCCCGGCCGTCGTCATGTTCCTCTTAGGGCTTCAGTTTGGCGGTAACGATTATGCCTGGGATAGCTCGGTTGTGATTGGCTTGCTAGTCGGCGCTGGCGCTACCTTTGTTGTCTTCCTTATCTGGGAGTGGAACCAAGGGGACAATGCTATGGTGCCACTTGCTATGCTTAAACACCGAGTTATTTGGTCGGCTGCACTGACAATGTTCTTTAGCTTGTCTAGTGTTCTTGTTGCTGATTTCTACATTGCAATCTATTTTCAAGCAATCCACGATGACACGCCTCTAATGAGCGGTGTTCACATGCTCCCAATCACCCTCAGTATCGTCCTATTCACTATGGTTTCAGGCACCCTAAGTAAGTGATTATAATTATAATTTTGTCCACTGATCATCGCTAATACTAGAAAGTTTCCGTTTTGGGCTACTATCTCCCATTTCTTCTTGCGGGGGGTGTGATATCATCTATTGGTAATGGACTCTTGTCGACATTAGGTGCTACCACTCCGGTTGCAAAACGGGTTGGGTACCAAATTCTTTACGGTGTTGGAAGCGGTTGCACGACTGCGGCCGTAAGTCCGATTCTTCCGAGGTTGACGAATTATAACCCTATGCTAATCCGTACCTTCAATTTAGCCCTATATCGCTATACAAAGCCTCGTGGCTCCAGAGCAGATTCCCCTTGCTATGGCCATTATCATCTTCTCGCAAAATATTGGTGCCGCCATCTCTCTGATCGCTGCGAACGCTATCTTTAGCAATAGCCTTCGTTCGGAGCTTCAAAAACGCGCTGCACAGATTAGCGTTTCTCCAGACGCCATTATCAATACTGGAGTCCGCTCCATCCGTGGCCTGGTGTCTGGCTCCGAGCTGGCCGCTGTGCTCGCAGCCTACGCCAAAAGCATCGACAAAGTCATGTATCTCGGTATTGCTGTCAGCGTCGCCGTGTTAGTTTTTTCTCCGGGACTTGGATGGAAGGATATCAGGAAGGTGAAGCTTCAGCTCATTACTGAAAAATCTCCTAGTGTAAGTGATAAAGATTTGGCAGTGATTGGAGAAAATTAGGGTCGTTTGTCAGCAAAAGAGGTATATTCATGCTTCTTCAATATCCTTTCGGCATGTCTACCGACGAGGTGGTCCACTGGTTGTTCCACTGTTCTTTTAGAGAGAATTTCCTTTTCTAGGCTGAATTCTTGTCCGGACAGTTTAGATAACATTTAATACTACTTTTCAGTCACATGCTTCACTGTCGATAAGTTGTTCGATGCAAAAGATAATAACGGGATCCGCATTCACATTTAGGTATGGGGACCATCAGGCTATCTTCGTCGGTGGCGTCCCTTTCGTTCTTGTGTGCACTTGCATGTTTATTTGACCAACAAGACATACCTAAGTGAGAAGGTTTGATATTATAGCATGAAAAGTTACTATTGTATGTAATTTTGCATGAGTATATAATTGATCCTGTACTGCTTTAACTAAACTTTATCCTGCAAACTGGGTATCCTTTTTCACTAAGCTAAAGCATTACGACAAGTTTCTTTTTCGAAACACCCTTTCTCTGATGGAGAGCCTCTTGGATATTATCTAGCCTTTTGCCCACAAGATGCGGAGGAGGAGGTGGCACAAACTGGCCTTGGTCAAGTGCCCGTGGTAGGAAATCCATGTAGATATGAGAGACGACGCTATCGGGGTCAACTAGGCCATTGAGAAGACCGAATTTGGCATTCACTCCGGTCCTGATGCGCGTCTCGATCGATTTGATTATACCCCCCATCATGCCGATCAAGTACGTGCCTTTGCCAACAAATGTCGTGAGATTCTCGGAAGATATGATGGCGCCCGCCACAGTAATGAATTTCCGAGTGAGTTTAGGATAATGTGTCTTCATAACCGCAGTGCATGCCTCAGCAGCACCACTGCCAATTGTGTAGGCGCCAACCAGCTTGTGGCCTTGCAGAGCAACGAGGAGGTCCTTGACCAAACTTTTGCTCCTGTAGTCGAAGACTTTAGTGGCACCGAGACCTTTGAACAGGAAATGGCCAATGGTTTGAAGATGTACTACTAGGTATGCCACGACATTTACTAGTTTATTGTAAATGATTTGGAGCCTCCAGAGACGACTAGTGCCACTCGGGAGAACATCTCACCTTTTATATGGGTTTAGTCCTCGACCGACAAATCAATGCTCGGATTTTTACAGAGAGCCTCCGATTATCAATACGAAAAAGGAAAAGTGTCAATAACCTTGAAATAACCTTATTTCCCCAACGGGCATTATTAACCGTGGAACCCCACCGACACGTTCAAGGTTGTTGTATAGAGCGGGGTCCAGATGAAAAAGAATCGCACCTCTAAATCCCTGCCACATGGAGGATCTGCATTTTTTAAAGTACCTATGACGCGTTGGTCGGATCTCCATGGGGGCCATGCTGATCTTATGCTGCAGGTCAGCAAATCTTGGATTTGATCTATGCCAAGACTGCGACCGGCTAGTATAAGACATTGTACCGAGTACGTATTATATACACCATTTGTATTCCGTACAAACTAGTTAATTAAGTTCCAAGTTTATCCGAGCAAAGATTGTGGCTGGATCTAATGCAGGAGGTCCCGGAGTAAATTGAAATGATGGTTAGCTACTTATGTACTGTAGTTGAGCATGGACTTCAATGGTCGGTGAAAAGGCATAGCGTGTTCATGCGGACCCATAGGAAACGCAAGGAAGGCAACGTGTGAGGGTCAATGGGCAGAATTTGCCAAGCCAAGCTCACTTCCGTCGAGAGCCAGTAGCGCGGATGCCAGCCTTGGCCACGATGGGAAGTCTTGTAGAATTAAGGGGGGAAATTGGGAAAGGAGATACTATTTAGAAATACGTTGTATAACTCAGGGGAATAATAACATAGTTGCCTTATACTAGTCCTCTGTGCTCTGTACTCCGTAGTTCTAACATAAGACATCCTATATTTATCCACCCATGCAAACTAGTCTACTTATAGTCGGCTTGTCTCTCCACCGATGATCCAAGGGGATAACGCCAATGAAAAACCTTTGTTCAAGGTCTCAATGCAAAGAGAAAGAAAAATAAAACAAAGCAGATATTGGCTTGGCTTCAGCTTTTCAAGTGTCGCACGAGACAATAAGTATATCATTGGTGTAGCGTGGAAATGTTGGAAGGTCTTCTCTTCGCCTCCGGGACTTGCCCCAACTGATCCACAGTAGTTCTTGGTCTTCTCTCTCTATCTTCTCTTCAAACCTCCCTATTATTCCATATCCCATTCCTCCACCTCTCTCTTTTGCTGGAAATTTTTTAAAAAAGGACCCGTTAATCCCGGTGATTAGCGACGTATTCGGCTTGTAACGTCATCTTCCTTGGCAAAGAAGCTCGACTTCCCTAACCTCCAACCCAACCACTCGTTTTTTTTTTTTTCATTCTTATTCTTCCAGGTTCACCCTTGTGTGGATTCTATGGATTGATCTCTTCGTCGCCGAATTCGGTCTAGGCGCAGTCGCTATTTCACAGTCTCTCGTTCAGCGCAATCGACCTGCCTCGGCCAGTTTCCTTTTAAATCCTACCACGCCCCAGTCTCTCTCCTTACCTGCAAGGCGTTTCACAGTCTAACTCGGTGAGGGGTAATACTCAAAAGACTACTGAGCTTCTTGTCCGCACTTCACGTTCCGACGTCATGGGTCGTTCGCGTGGTAAGTCGATCCTCTCCGGGTATGCCGGGAATGGCACTAGAGCCCGTTATTGACTCTCCCTTGCGTGGAACTAGTCCGCTCGTTCCTATTCAGTTTTGGGGGTTCAAAGAATCATGCTTCTGGGAAAGAGAGCAAAAAATTGTCGAGCAACGTTACGCCGGTGGCCAACGTGGCCAACGTAACCTCGTCCGATACACCACCCCAGTGGCAAACCCCCCCCGATACACCATCCCCTCCTCCCGAAGCATCCCCTGTGAGCTCAGGACCAAGAGGCGGAAATGCGTCGCGACCGGCATCTATGATCTTCTCACGGAACCCGCCTCTCATGCATCAGACGGGCGATACCCCACCGGAGCTGTCGCCAATCTTTTCGTTCCTCAATATCCACACGAATAAGCTATATCATGAAGGATACTTTTTAAAATTGAATGATCTGGATTCTCGTAAGCGATCGCTGGCCTTGGTGCATTGCGGGGCAAGGGCTAACACGTGGCAGATGGACGGCCTTCTGGTGATCGACAATGGGTGGAATGCTACGCACAGCTGGTCGGAACTGTTCTTTCACTATGGGATGGCGCTGCGCTGGACGCAGCAGGTGGAGAAGAGGTTCCGGCTACCTTTATCAATTTGGCCGATGCGTCTCTCAAAATGGTAAGCCTTACCTGTCTGAATCGTCAGGCATGGACTAATCAGTTACTCGCAGATTGAGACTCTTCCGATTCAAAATGGAGCTATAGAACCGTTGAAGAACGTACTCAGCCTTTCTTCCGCTGGCAAAAATCGATACCTCTTGCATTTCAATTCTTTCAACTCATTGACCCAATGGACTGCGGCGATTCGTCTCTCCATGTTCGAGCACACATCTTTGTACGAAGCTTATACCGGTTCTTTGATTGCAGCGAAAGGTAGAACACTCAACGGAATCAACTCCATCTTGGCACCCACCAAATTCAAGTACGAAGATTGGGCGCGTGTACGATTTGGAGCAGGAACCCCGTGGAGGAGGTGCTGGTTTGTGATCTGCCCGCCAGATGAAAAAGAGCTCCACAAAGCGCGGAAAATCATGAAAAAATCGGCATATGACCGCTTGTCAATGCCAGTTACCGGCAACATCAAGTTCTACGAGACGAAGAAAACTAAAAAGGTGACTCCCATTGCAACGGTTACTCAGGTTTACTCGGCATATGCGGTTTATCCACAATCTACGGCTATAATTGATGCATCGACCCTGGTGAAGTTGGAAGGACGGATTACCACACATTCGCCTGATTCTTCTTCGGAGGGACTTGTCTTTATCATGCCTGAGCCACATCCTGCGGTTTCTGGATTCGAGATGATGCTGCGCTTCCTTTTCCCGACGTTCGACACTTTCAATCTCTATGGCCGTCCTACTCGCCTGGTGGCAGACACTAATCACATCAAGAGCATCATGTTTGCCTTCCCCAAGGAGCGACGGTACGGCTATCTTGATGTGCTGGACATTGCCAACCTTCTTCAAACCCCGGGAAGCCAAGAATGGAGTGAAGCTCAGTGGAGAAAACAGCTCAAAGAGGCAACACAGCGTCGAATTTCGTCTGGTAGGAGCAGAACCAATAGTGTCAACAGCGTGAGACCTCGTTATCGCTCGATGTCTGGCCGACACAGTGATATCCCTGTGGACTCCGCTCGGCGCCAGTATGCTGATCTCGACCACAAGCCTGGGTTCAACCACTCCACCGAGGCTATCATTCATGAAGTCCCTCAAAACGAGGACTTACCCGCTGTGTATGACCGCCCGGTTTCTGATAACACAGGCTTCAACACTGGCTCTCGGCTAGGCCATGAATCTTTAATCGAGAGCTCACCTCACTCATCTGCTCAAGATCTGATGCACCGTGGTGTTCCAGCGTTCGATCCTATCGCTGAGAGCACCAGTTCCGGAAGCGAACCAAATATCAACCACCTCCGAGGCCCGCCAGTTGAAGAACAGCTCCCCCCACGAACCCCACCGGCTCCTGTTGAAAACCCACCCCCATTTTCCCATGGACCCAGAGAGATGCCCACTAACCGGCCAGAGGCTTCTTCGGAGCAGAGGTTGGCAAACAACCGGATGTCTCACGCAACACTTTCCCAACTCACATCGGTCGGAACTATGGGAATGAGCGCGGCAGCCGCCACTGCTGCATGGAAAACCCACCAGCCCCAGGATAGGGCCTTCAACGGTGTCTATAAGCCTGGACCGATTGTCTCCGCAAACTCTGTTGCAACTTCATCGAGTGATGAGGATATCAGTCTTGCTCTTCCGGTTCGACCTCCCTCAGTTCCTGAGCATCGTCCGATCACACCTAGTACTGGCAGCCCACATCGGCCTTCTCCCCAGCAGCACTCTCCTCAACGGATGCACATTGATGCCAACAAATCTGTGCGACGCAAGCCACTCCCTCAACAACAGATTTTCGGGACAGAGCCAGAGTCACCAGACGAACCGAGTTATGATGATCTTCGCCATACCCTTGATGAAGATGCGCTGAATAAAATTGCGCCTCATCTTCCATCCCCAGCGTCATCTGTTGGAAATAGAAACGGAAACGAGGACGACAGCATTTACGATGATGCATCGACAGTTTCGCCTGACTATGCTAGCACACACGGTTCTGTCTACAGCAAGAAATCCGTCGCATCCACCAAACCTAGAATGGGTGTCATGAAAACTGTGGGAGTCCCAGCAGTCAAAGATTATGTCATTGGCGATGCTCATTATACTATGGATAAGCCCCCGACCTCGAATCCGGATATTCCCAGTGTTGACTTCGGCCCAACTATGACATATATGCCTACTACTGGGCGCCCAACCACATCAGATACCCTGAGAAGAACAATGCATCAACGTAATGATTCGTCGGGGACCAAAATTGCGGTTCCGACTCAAGCAATCGATCAGGCTAATGCGCGGCCTTCCAGTCGCGAAGAATATCGACGCAGCATGCTGTGGCAGCCTGGAATGGGTTCTCGCCCTGTCACTCCAGGTGGAGGTCTAACCCCGGAGCAGTACGTGCAGCAACGGGCGGCACCCAGTCCTCCGGTGCAGGTCCACAATCGCACCCCTTCTAATCCCATGTCAGTACAACGCCCGGTATCTGGCGACTGGACACATAATGTCCGTTCCAATTCGCCCATGAGCCCTCAGCGGGATCCCAATTATCGACCTTCGTCTCGTGGTGCCCAAGGTATCCTCAATTACAACGATGCTTCAACCAATCTTTCCGCTCGTGAACAGGAGCACGTTGCCCGCATGACTGGCTCTTCATTCTTCAATATGTCAAATGACAACCGAAAACCACAGGCGCCAGTAAGCCCCATGGGCCTTGTCTCGCACATCGATGCTCGGGAGCGCGAGAAGCGTGAAATAAGGGAGGGAATGTCGAACCAGGCGGTTCAACAGGCCATTGCCCACCGTCAGCAACACATGATGCAACAGCAGCAGTACGCGCCTCAGCAGTTCGCGCCGCCGTTCTCGCCGCCGTTCTCACCGCCATTCTCACCTCAACAGATGCAGACCCAACAGGCTGGCTCTGTGTATCCATCTCAACATGGTCGCCACGAGTCCATGTACAACATTCCGGTTGCCAGCCACACATGGGATGCTCTAAACCAGACAATCCGCCCCGACGAACCCCGTCGATCGTCCTGGTACGGACAGCTGGCTCCTCAAACACCGCCTAGCTATCAACAAGACCAGTATGGTCAAGAACCGAGGTACTACAGCCATGCTCAATAGACCGGTTCTTTCCCTTGGGTCTGACCTATCATTTTGTCACTACCTCGACTTTCCTTTCGATTTTTTCAACAACTTATTCCCTGCATATTATCAGCAGCATCAATTTCTATTCTGTTCAAATCGCCATTCCTGCATACATACCAACCTTTGCACCTGGCTTCCAACGCGTTCATCTTTCACGCAGTCCTTCTCTTTTCGCCCTCTAACATCACTCATTATTTTTCCTTTATCTCTCATTGCTTCTTTGCATCACGCATCCAATCGGAGTTCCAGATGGGCGTGGTGGGATCGTCCCTGATTTTTCATGCGAATCGCTTGCTTACTTATCATTATCGGGGTCCTTGCTTTTACTTTTTATTCACATGTTTTGTGCCAGCATGTAGATCAGACTCGTGGAAATATGTGGCCTGTATGTACGCCGTATAGATTGATCATGGATACCATACCCAACCAGGTACTATTTGTCCTTTCCATATCTGCATTCTTTCTATTGTTCTCTAAAGTAAGCATTTTGTAGTAGTAAGAGGTATGTACGCACATCGTAAACGATAGTTGCATTCAAATGACATAGAAGATGGGAAAGAAAAGACCTTACTACGCTGTGAAGCATATTTTCCGAACGCAATCAAGCAGGATGTCACTTTACAACCGGAATATCTAGTACTCCAATCATGTTTCTTTTCAAACCTCGCTACCAATGTAGGACATGCTACAATATACAGAATTTTAGTAAGGCTTGTAAGCTACGACATCCTTCTACATCCTATTAGTTCGCCATATCAATTCCACGCTCCACACACACAGTTCAGTTCATACAATGATAGGTGGTACGCCCGGAAGGCGAGCGCAAAACCGGCCTGATCAGGGGAACCCTGTTACCAATCAGGATCAAGTAGACTGTATCTACGGAGCTGTACATTGTATGATGACAATTATTTTGATATAGAAACATCACTGAGCGTCCTTAATCGGTTTACGCTATGCTGGTCTGCGCTACAACATAGTCTGGTGTGATGTAACCTTGTATATCTATAGTGCCTTGAATGATAGTCGGGTACAACGGGTGTAGAGAATATATTTTTCTATTATACACTTCTTGTCGTGCTATCAACCGTTCTTGCCAGGGATAAATGATTTATACATTCACAGTATATATATGGATAATTTCGGTGAATCCAATGGGACTACTTAACCCGGAGAAAACCTTATGACAGCACTTCTCCACCTAACCCTCTGTCTTATCTGTGAATTGAACATGAAGAAACATATGATTGAACATAGAGACTGACATTTGACGTAACCTCCAGGGCTCTAATGACGTAATGGAGAACATTGGAATACTGGGGAACAGGTTTTCCCCGGTTTATAGTGGATTTAATCTAGAGATGGTTGGATTTAATTGGATACCTGACCTTGCTTGTATATAGAAGTACACAAATCCTAGTGATAGTGTCGAACGGTCAGGTCGCCATCGGAGGTATATGAGAGCAGTGTCCGCCACTTCTTTACATACTAATAGCCACCCTGATATCATCTGTTGTGCAATTTGCATGCATAGAATAAGCCATTTGTTTATTCATTCTCTATGTACCGTTGTGGACCCAATATCTATATAATAGACTTAATCGACTGCCCGAATGGACCCTTCAGTCCCCGAAAATCCCGAAGCGTCGAGCTTCAAGGATGAAGCCAGCCCACAAGCAATTAAGACCGAAGCAGGACGGGGTGCTGATACCCACGCTGAATATGCCTCCAACTCCGATACAGCAAGCCAAGAAGACAAACCTAAGCTGCGTACCGGCGGCAAGCCCGAGCTAACAGAAGATGACTGCTACGAAAAGCTCGGCTTCTGCTTCCCAACATGGAAGAAATGGATGATTCTCTCCGTTATTTTCGCGGTTCAAATGTCCATGAACTTCAACACAGGCGTCTACTCCAACGCCGTCCCCGGCCTGACCGAAGAATTTCATATCAGCGAACAAGCCGCGCGAGTTGGGCAGTGTGTGTTTCTAGTTGCATATGCATTCGGATGTGAGCTGTGGGCACCATGGAGTGAGGAATTCGGCCGCTGGCCCATCATGCAGCTCTCACTTCTTTTTGTGAACATTTGGCAAATCCCATGCGCCCTCGCACCAAACTACGGCACAATTGTCGTATGCCGTGTCCTCGGCGGTCTCAGTTCTGCCGGAGGCTCAGTCACCCTCGGCATGACGGCGGATATGTGGGAAGCCGACGATCAAGGCTACGCGGTAGCCTTTGTTGTTCTCTCGTCCGTAGGCGGGTCAACCGTCGGACCCTTCTTCGGCGGTATGATCGGCCAATGGCTCACATGGCACTGGGTATTCTGGATCCAATTGATCGTCGGAGGTGTAACCCAGATTCTGCACTTCTTCATCGTGCCGGAAACACGCACGACAATTCTTATCGACCGTGAAGCGAAACGGCGTCGTAAGAATGGAGAGGATATCTGGGGCCCGGACGAACTGAAAACCCCGCGCCTGGACTATCACGACGTACTACGGATCTGGATCCGGCCATTCGTGATGTTCGTCCGCGAGCCAATCGTCCTTTTCCTCTCCCTGCTGTCGGGTTTCTCCGACGCCTTAATCTTCGTCTTCACCGAGTCCTTCGCATTAGTCTTTGCACAATGGTCATTTAGCGTTCTAGCCATCGGTCTAACCTTTGCCTCAATCCTAATCGGCTACATAATAGCATACGTAATTTATTTGCCCGACATTCACCGGCAAATCCAAACACGGCGCCAATACGGCACAGCCAGCCGTCTCGCCGAGCGCCGTCTCCTCCTTCTCCTCTTCATTGCACCCCTCGAACCAATCGGCCTACTCGGCTTCGCCTGGACATCAACCGGCCCACCAATCCCATGGATCGCGCCGTGCATCTTCGCCTGTCTGATCGCAATGGCAAACTATGCAATCTACATGGCGACGATAGACTACATGGTTGCGGCGTACGGGCCGTACTCTGCGTCTGCAACGGGAGGTAATGGCTTTGCGAGAGACTTCCTAGCTGGTATCGCGACCATGTACTCCACGCCCATGTACCAGAACATTGGGAAAAGGTATCATCTCCAGTGGGCGAGTACGCTGCTAGGCTGTGTGGGCTTCTTGGTCTTAATTCCGATTTATGTGTTCTACTGGAAGGGCCCGGATATTAGGGCTAAGAGTAAATTCGCGCAGCAGCTTGCTGCTGATCGGGAGAGGAATACTGAGAGTAGGAGGGCTAGTCGGGCTAGGGCTTCGGTTGGGGCATAATTGTGCTTGTGGTTGCTGTATGATATTCAGCCTTTGTATAGTTGTATAGTTGCTAGATGCATATATTGGATAGATGTGTTATTTCGTGAGTCCTACTCTTATGTTGTAGCTTTGAGATGTACTATCAAAAACTCGGTTCTGCTTCTTCTAGAAATATATATTGGAACAGCAGATCCGCAATGGCATCATGAAAGAGAGAGCGTTCCCATCCCAGGAACGTGGGGAAGTATACATCCGAAAGAGGAAAGTGGACCACGACACGTGCTAGTATACAACCAATGCATGCTGCCCCTATGTCGTATGTAGTTGCGAATTGCAAAAAATGTACTTCTCAATCACATTCGTTATTGATGGATGAATAGTTACTCTTAGCCCATAATAGCGTAATGGCAAAACAGTTATAAAGGTATCTCAAGAACGCCACAAGTGCCAGCTTCCCTCGCTTCCACGATGCTTCAACTCCCTTTCCACTAGGAAAAGTGTCTAGCTCATGCTAGGATATATAATCCTATGCAAAGAGATGTTTCGTAAATCCTATATTATCTCTGACTAGATATTGACATCTAGCTCGAATGCAGCTTCTTGACGCGCATAGCACCTTCATACAGACCGCGGTCCAAAGCGGCAGCGACAGTTAAAGTACCACCAATGATAGCACAGACACCAGTAAGGAAGTTAGTGAAAGTCTTCGGGCGAGCCTCACGGTTGACAACCTTCATAGGAGAGATATCGTAATTGAAGAAGACGCCTGGAATACCGCCACCGGCGTGCACGCGCTCCTTGTGGCCCTCCGCAGCATCATTTCCACCGGAAAGAGGACGCTTGTGCGAGGTTACCGAGTACTGATGAGCCTCGATACTACCCTGAGTACCGTATGCGAGGCCGTGGGAGCCAAGAGGCGCACTGTCGTAGGCGTTGTGTATGGCAGTCGAGAACTGAGGATCCCAGCCTAGAGGTAAGTAGGACGTCGAGACAACCTTGACAAAGTACATGAAGTTGTAGGCGGGTTCGTCGGTCTCCTGCTTGGTATCGTCGAGTGGGTTGGTGTTGTGGTGGTCTGTCCACCCCCAGCGGCCTGCGAGCTCGGCGGGGAGCTTGGGCCCGAAGCGAAGCTCGTGGACGAAGTGGGACATTGTGTGCTGGTCCGCCGGGCCCGCGTTGGGCGCGATGTAGGCGTCGAGATCGTGGACATGCATGTTGCCAGTGGTGAAGCTGCGGCCTGGTGCAATGTGGAAGTTGCCCACAACCTTGTTGACCTTCAGCACACCCTCAATCCGACATCCCTCACGGCGCTGCTCAGCGAGTTTCTCGGCATATCCTTCGCGCTTGCATTGCTCGATGTTGCTGCCATCGCCAAAGGCCCATTGCTTCTCGGCGTAGGCTTCACGAACTTCCTCACAAGTAGTACAGCATCCCGGTTTGATGACGGTTGGGGGAGGTGTTGCTCCACCACATTCACCGCAATAGTCTGGAGCCAGATGCTTCGCGGCGTCTGATGGAGAGTGTCTGGGGAAGGAAGATAATGAGTTTGCGATCGCGGTGTGAAGGATTTCGGGGTGGCAGGACTGGCACTTACAGGTCCAAAGCCTGGACATCAATCACTTTGCCGCCTTCATCGCGTGGGCTTAGGCGGACTTTGCTCACGCCATGGGCAACGCCGACCTGCTGCTCACCAGAGACATCCATCACGTCCAAAGTCAACAGCTCACATGGCAACCGAGGGAAGGTCATGTTCAAGTGAATCTCCATTCGCTCTCCTGCGCAGCAAAATTTTATTGTTAGCGACCTTGCCGACCTTGCCCTATGCATTGTATCTTCTGCAGGTCCATCGTGGATCCGATCGAGCCCAAACTCTATTCATACCTCGCGATTTATCGACGACAAGCTCCGGCAGCACCACAACTCTCCGGTAGTCGGCCCATTCACCCCATACCAGCCACATAACAATCAATAACGAAGCAATTGTAATGACACCTCCGGAGTTCGTGCGAATACGAGCATCTTCAACGGTCTTGGCGAAGGCATCTAGCCTCGTGAATCGCGACTTTGCGGACATCTCGCCGGTCAATTGAAGACCATAAGGTGAAGCGCAAAGGCCAGGCAAGGGTTTGTGGACAGCGGCTGTATGTCAAATGTCTGTAAGACAGATAACGCGAATAGGTCAGCTAGGTGGTCATTGGACGCGCAAGCTCTATTAGTGAGAGAGACCACCAAACAAACATAACAGAGTAAAGGAAATAGGGAAGGCACCCATACCAACAATAGAGTCCGATGAGTCAGTTCAAACTCAATGCGATTGAGTATTCCAAGCACCTGACAATAGAGACAAGAGCAAGGCTAATTTGAAGCCTCAAGTGGCCAGGCATACTTGCATGGCCGATGGATGTATGAGGAGCGTGAGGACAGACGACAGCATGTGATTGGTCACCCCAGAGCAAGGAGATGAGTCATCTCCTAATTAGGCCTAGTAACTGACAATGCCGCCTCATCACGTGCCAATCGTCACTTTTTCTTTGAACTCACTTTACTTATTCACGGCCCTATTGTTCTTTGGTCATTCACTTTCACTTTCTTATTGTCTTGCAGCTGCACTACATAATCTGCAGTCCCCCCTCTTCTCCAGTCTTTTCAGTTTGCTTTTTCTTTACCTCCCACCTTCCCGAGTCATATCTCCATTGCGATTTCCTCACATGCGAACTACTTCTTTCTGCCTGATCTGAGGCGCATAGCGCGCTGCTCTCTTCACCTTGATCGTTTCACCTTTCTTTCACCTTTCCTCCCTTTGCAACAATCTCCGATACCCCACCAACCTCTCAAATCTCTCCTCCAACTACGATGAAGAGCATGAAGTCCCGCCGCGGCGGCAATGATCGCGGGGGAATCCGCAAGCGGGGCCCTACTCGCACCGACCGGGATGGCGACATGGATATGGATTCGGGCAGTGCGCGTGCAAAGAGAACCCGTGCTGAGAAATCTGCCTTGGGTGGCCGTGCCGCCGGCACAGGCGTAGGTGGCCGAGCTACTGGAATTAGCAACCGGGCCCAGGCTCGTACCAAGCACAGGGATTCGGATCTTTTTGAGAGAGCGGTTTACAGCAACAATGGCCAAGCAAACGTTATAAGTGGCAACAAGAAAACGGGCGGCGATCTGGAACAGTTTAGTGTCCGAGGATGGAAATCAAGCAAGGCGGCGAGCAACCGTGATGGCGGCCTTGAGAGCCTCATTGCATTCCTTGAACGACGCATGAACTCATTCATCAAATCCGGACCTCGCGCCAAGATTACAAAGGTATGTTCCTCGTTCACAATAGCGGTCACCAACATCGATTCTCGACGTCCCCCGCTTCAGTGTCCTCTTGTTTTCGAGGACGATCCTCCTACAAATCGACGATCGACACATTTTGGGCTTTTTGGTTTCTTTCCCTTTGGGTGACCGTAGTTTTCAAGGTCCTTCGCACCTTTCTAACTTTCAAATTAGTCGCGCACTGAAGGTGACACTCTCGTGGCCTTCGTTCGACCTGATCTGGCGGGTCACATGCTTCGAATCAACAACAATGTTTTCGCCGGAGCCCATGTTACTGTTGAAGAATACACCGCTGCCACCGCACTCGATCAGGAACTGGCTGCAGCCGACCCCGTTCCTGGCTCGACCGCCGATACCAAGACTAAGATGACAACTATCCTCGGCAAGCGCTTCTTCCCTGCTACCAAGCTACTTGACTTGTCGAAGCTGTTGGACGACCCTGATCTGCAAGCCATGGGAATCTTCCACAACGTCTCTACCAAGTCCAAATTCTTCCCTGCTCTCATGAAGGTCTGGGAACTGGGCTTCAAGACTGTAGCTGAACGACGTGAAGCGGTCGAAAGTGTCAGTCTGGCGGAAAACAACCTCAGCAACATCAGCTCTGTGACTACCCTCGCACAGTCTTTCCCCGATATCCAACACTTGGACCTCTCAAAGAACAACATCAAAAATTCGCAGGCGATGATCGGATGGCGGTGGAAGTTCCGCAACCTAGTTTTCCTCGACTTGACTGAAAACGAAATCAGTTCCGACCCGACTTTCAAGGACACCATGCTCAAGTGGTATCCCAAGCTGCAAACTTTAAATAACGTCCAAGTGCGAACTCCAGAGGAAGTCGCGGCTCAGAAGAAGACACCGATCCCCGTCCTGCCTCCTCACTTCATTGACGAATCTCAAGTCGGCGAGAATTTCGTTCGTGCTTTCTTCCCTGGATATGATAACGATCGTAACAGCCTCGTCAGCAGTGTCTACGATGATCAGTCCACTTTCTCGTTGAATGTAAACACCACGGCTCCCCGGGCCACTCAAACCGAGACGGCAGGTTGGGGTGAATACATCAGAAAGAGCCGAAATCTTGACAAGATCAGCCATCTTTCTGCACGGATGTCACGATCCTTCAAGGGCATTGAGAAAATCCGTGAAGTTTTCAATGAGCTCCCGCCCACTCGCCACCCTGATCTTATTGCAAAGGCAGAGCAATGGCTCATTGAATGCCACCCAGTCCCTCATCTCCCCGACCCTACTGGACAGAGCCCCACTGGCGTTGGTGGCCTTTCCCTCATGGTGCATGGACAACTTGAGGAGAGCATTGGTGGCAAGATTGAGATCCGAAGCTTCGACCGAACCTTTATTCTTGGCCCCGGTAACACTCCCGGTGGCATCCGAGTTGTCAGCGAGATTTTCTGCCTACGCGCTTACGGTGGACACGAGGCATGGTCGCCTGAGATCCAGGCACTTTCCCAAATTCCTCAGATTGCAGCTCCCGTTCCTATTCCCACTGCGGCTCCTACACCCCTTGCAGTCCCCGCAGCTGTCCCAGGTGGCAATGTTCCTGAGGGATACGGTTTGCCCCGACCTGGAAAATCCGACACCCAGCTCCAGCAGGAGCAGATGATCACTCAGATGAGTGGCAAGTCGGGCATGACTTTCGAATACTCAGAGATGGCCCTCGCGGGTAATGGCTGGAATGTCGAGCT